TTGACGTGCCTGACTTTTCCTAGGTTAGATACTCACATACACAAAGCCTGTGTAGTTATCTGACTCTGTTGGGGCTTATTGGCAATGTGTGTGTTGTTCCTACATTCCTAATCTGTAGGCACCCACTTGATGGCTATTTTACTTGAGAGCTTGAGGTTTTACTTGAATCTGGAGGAGTTATTATTCCCTTTTATTCTGCACTGCTGAGGCCACATCTGGAGTACTGTGTCCAATTCTGCCTCCGCCCCCGCCCCCCCCAATTGTCCAATAACCTCATAACAGATTGGCTCACATATTTTGGGTTGTGACCTGGGTTAGGTGATTTGAGTGGAAGGTCTGGGAGGGGGTGTAGGTGCATGAGGGGGGCACAGAGGGTTTGGGTTAAGTGGGGTAGGGGTGCAGGCATGGGGGAAGCAGAGGATTGGGAGGTGGAAGGGACTGGGTTGCAAGAGGGAAGCTTTGGCCAGGAGATATTTACGTTGGTGAATCCCAGCCAGCAGCTCTCTCAGTCAGGTCTTCCTGTGTTCCATGCCCTGGTAGGCTGATCAAAGCAGCCAGATGCAGGGCCCTGCGTGTCTGTGAGCAGCTATGAGCCCACAGGGGAGGAGGGAAAGAAGGGTACTTTGTATGCTGCCTGTTCTTCCAACAGGCAGCTCCCATTGGCTGGAAAATGGCTAATGGGAGCTGCAATATTGTGCTGCAAGAGGGGGCTAGCACACGCAGCCTCTCCCCACCCCCAGGTAGGGGAAATGGAGTAACAGAAGATCTCTACAATGTCTTGCTGATTTTGGAGGACCTCATGACAAGGACCAGCTCTGGATTCTGTCCAAATGGACTTGACAGGCAAGGAGTTGATTTCAGGAAAAGACAGATGTTGATTCTGCTACAGTGATGTCTCTTCTGTTCTTCCTCCCTGCATCATTGTGGGCAAGTTAGTTCTTGAACAAAAGATGGTACTTGGCAGCTTACCCTTGCATGCCAAGTAAGATACCCTTCCACAACCAGTATGTGCGATGCTGTGGTCTACACACCTGAGGCAACCTAGAGACCTACGGCAGGTACGATGCTGTACCTCACAGTAGGCAGTAGCACGGTTAGGTCACAACCCAAAGCCCTGCACCACCTCCTGCACCCTAGTCACAACTTCTTCCTTCACTCAAGCTCCCAGATCCCACACCCCCTCCTGTACCCCAATTCCTTATCCCAAGCTCCCTTCTAAACCCAACCTCCATCCCAAACATCACATCTCCTCTATTAATATGGAAGAGTGCGGCCCTTGACCACTTCAGGAGGGTAGGGGGACAAGGTGGAACTTCGGGAGTGTGGGAGGGGGGTAAAACAGCCATGCGCTCTGGGTTGCGGCTTGCTTTTGATCCCGTTCCCCAGACACTAAGGGTGTGAGGGGAAAGTGCTTGCATCCTGTGCATGCCTCTCACACACCAGCCAGACATGAGAGGCATGCACTGCATACAAGCACTTTCCCCACGCTCCCTTAGCTTCCAGAGAACAGGATCAAAAGTAAGCTGCGCCCCGGCATGCTCGGCTGCCCCCCACCCCTGTGCTCGGGGTGGGAGGGGAGAAGAAAAGAAAAGTAAGGATTGGGCCCAGTGCTATAGGCCTGTTCCTTACTTTTAAAAACTTTCCATGGACCCCCTGCAGTGCCCTCGTGGAGCCTGAGCGGTCCGCGGATCACAGCTTGGGAACCACTGCACTGCAGCTTTAGCTGAAAGTCAACTGGCTTTTAGCTCAATCTGTAGAGGCACTAAGCTCCAGAGGTCCCAGGTTTGGCTCTGCCTGCCACCATTTCACATGCAGAATTAATACTGAACTTATTGGTCAGTAAGTATGAGCCCATGCAAAAGTAACTATCCAACGAGGAAAGTTCCAGCATGACTTAGTCATCACAACCTAATAGCAAAAGGTGACACTTACACCAGAGTGAATAAAAGTGGGATGATTTTGGGTACCACTCCTCCTAGCCCCTTCTGACATACTGATTAGGTAAAAGTTAGTAATAATACACCCACTGATAAAGATATGTGACTCCTTTGGGGAAAGACGATCTAAGAATTGTTGCAAGCGTGCAATTAACCTTGGCCTAACAAGGATTGGCACCATGAGCTAATGATCGCAAATGTCCCTAATTGCCTTAACCTACTCTGGAAGGAGGGGAAAGGAGAGACTCACTCTCACTATCTGCAATCACACTTACAGTCCAATGAAATACAGGCTGAGAGCCATGCACCAGTTCATGCTGAGGTTCATGCTGTTGGTATCTTCCCCTGATGACCCCAGAACCAGTTCGCTGGCCTGGCGATCCGAGCAGAGGGCACCCTCGGGAGGTCTTGCTTGGTGATCCCCTTTGGGGTTCTCTCTCTTTGTTGGATCGACGAAGTTACAGGCCATGTGTAGATTCTGGGTCCATAGGCCTTCCTCACTGTTCTTTCTGGGCCATGTGCACTGCACTCACGTTCAGGTGAGTAAAAGTTCATCACCGACTGCATGTTCGTTTCCCCACACTCACCATGCATTCATTCAGGACGGGGGAACCATATGGAGAATTTACAGAACCTAAGCCGACAACAATTTGGCTTTACATCAATTATAACTTGCTAACAGATAATAATGTCCTTCGCCCTCAACAAGAATCAAGTAAAGTGAATTACTGGTGGTGGGGATCCATTTGAGTACCGTGATTTGGGGGATCAGACCAGAAAACTGAGAAAAACAAACAAGAAAAGGAGCTGTCTATAGGCTGGTAATCACCTTCCACTGTGTGGGACCAGGGCCGCATTATGTCTTTCATGGGCCGTAGACACTTTTGCCTCCGTGGGCCCCTTCCTCCATAAAAAAAAAAATTAAAAATTATTTTTGATATAACTTTAAATACTTCAACTTTTTTTTTCTGTTTTAGGCAAAATTTAATAGATTTTTGTGGGCCCTAAAATTTTTTTTTTTGATGTGAGAAAAAAATTAAAACATTTTCGTGGGCCCCTAAAAGTATCGTGGGACCTAGCACTGTGCCTACTGTGCCTAATAGATAAGTCGGCCCTGTGTGGGACCAGCACAGGAACTGTCTGTGTATGTTTGTGGAAGAGAGGCTAGTTTAAGGGAATGTTTAGTTTCTTGTGTATTGCTGTGTCTAACAAAGGAGCTGTGTGCTTAATGCAACCCTTTCACTGCTGGTTTAATTCCTTCTCAATAATCCTACTGGGTAGGGTTGGGTTAAATTCTCTAGCTTGACCTTTTTCACTGTCAGCAAACAGTAACAGTCCAGAAGGGACGAATGCAGGGAGGGGAATAGAGAGAGGAGAAGGGATGGGCTCCAAGCCTCTGATCGTCCAATAACCTCATAACAGATTGGCTCAAGTATTTTCAGCATAACACCTTCAACACTGCAGATCTCTTGAACCTACCTTCCATCCCATTCATGATCCTCCATCGTTGCCAGTTACGATGGCATAAGATCTCTAGGGAAAGCCATAATAAGAAAGTATTTAATTTATTTGGATCTGTCTTTTTATGCAATTTAGCAGCCCGAAACAAGGAGATGAGCCAATAATGTGTCCAGACAGCTGTAGTCTATGAGCTATGTCTTAAGATCATTTAGTAAGGTATTAATTGAATTTCACAAAGGACAAAAATTCCATCAGCCTTACGCCGGTAGTACTTTAGTCTGCGAGCAGCCCTGCTGAAGTTCATAGGACTGCAGCACCTAGCACAGTGGATTCTTGGTCCACAACTGGTTTGCCTTAATGCTACTACACTACAAACAACAATCGAGTGAAGTTAGCAGAATCTGCCCCAGGATTGGAATGTCGGACAGCTTCCCCATTTACTTTCAGTCAGTCATCCGAGAAGGTAGAGGGATTTCCATTTTTTATTCCTACCATTGAGTCTAATCCTTTTTAAAATTAACATTGCAGTATTTTTCTATAAGCAATTAAAACAAAAACAACAACCACCGACGCCACCACGACAAAAGCACATATATAGATAATTACACAGGCTTTGCAAACAGAAATTAGGGACACAATAGGGGAGTCAAATGTCAGGCCCTGCGTCAGTGGAATAGATCCTGTGGTAGCCCTCTAGCTATCTGACTCACAAAGGGAACGGAACATATGGTTGCCTTGCTGATATGCACACACAGGGATTCAGATTAACAGCACAGAAAGGAATGATAATCCTGCTAGATCCAGGCCTTGCTGAGCCCTGAATGCTGTAGTACATCTGGCTGTGAATGAACAGAACAGGGTGCAGCATTTTAACAGCCACAACCATACAAGTGACCTGAAAGCACATGTCAAATAGCCTACACCTTTGCCCCTATTTACGTGCATCCGCCCCCCGAGCATCCTTCATCATCCACTTACGACTAATATCATAGTCCTTTTTGTGGCATCACCCTTGTACCTCTGAAGTTCCAGTGCCACTCAGCAATGAGTTGTTCAGAGGACAGCGGCACACGGAGAAGGGTGTATAAAGGGGTTGGGGGTGAGGGGGAGAATTCCATCAAACAGTGACTCTTCCACAGCTGCCGGCCAGTTTCACATAAAGATGCAGAGACACAAAGTCGCCTTCTTCTGGCTTCAGGCTGGACATATGGTGGCCTCATCTTCCTCCTGACCTTCTAGTTGTCTTAGGACTTTGCACTGGTTTGGCCTTCATGGGTATTAAAAGTGGAGGGTTAATTTTTACAGGGCCCCCACAGGAGACGCGAGGATCACACAATGAAATGTGTCAGGCTAATTTACAGCTACCAAAGGGTTTAGTGGGAGTGAGTTATGAGGCAAAGGAATATAGTATGCATAGGGGAAATTGGAAGTCAGAGCCGATGGCAGCAGCTCCTTTGGAAGGCAGAGAAGGGTTGCTATGGTGAGAAGTGGGGGCAAACTATTTTCATTGGTCAGAGAATAGTAAAACTAGAAATAATGGAACCCACCTCATCTCAGACACGTTCAAATGTTCTTGAACATGAAGACTAACCAGGGAGCAAAAGCAGCAACAGAAGGATGATGGGGGAATCTCTGTGTCTGTATGGTGAGCAGGTAATGGAGGGAGCTAAAAGATACTGGAGTGCAGCAAAAAATTAAGCAAAGCCGCTGACTGCATGTTAGCTATGATGGAAATCACAGTTTATCTGGTGAGCAGACAAGAGGGGAAGCGGGGGCTTGATTGGCTGAGAGATAAAGGGCTTGGAAGGTCTGGCCCTAGGTACAAATGGAAAAAAGGGATGGAAATCTCAGAGGCTGGCAGGGCCATAGGGAGAAAGTCAAGGATGTTTTGTTGCGCTACGGGTAGGCTCTTGTCTGTTGGGGATGGAGGCGGTATGCTAATGAATACTGGGTTAAGTTTGACATCGAGATTAGATGTAACCCGAGAATGTGATTTTCATAGTTATTTTATTTTTTAAAAAACAAAACAGGTAATTGTATACATAGATTAGAACAGGGCTACTTAACTTTGGAAGCCCCAGGGGCCACAATGATACATGTATCATTGCCAAGAGCCACAACTTAAATGTGGTTGCATAGACATGCAAATGACTTTTCACACGGACTGGCACCAATACAAAGATTAAGGCAAGACTACACAAAACACAGGCCCATTTAAGTCAGTTCTGCTGATATTAATAAAATGCAAAAGTTACCCGATTTCCACCCATATGACAGCACTTTTAATGAGCAATGACAGTCCAGGAATTTAACTACTAAAACACATATCAACACAAACTGCATCGTAAACCCAAACTGCATCACGGGACACAAACAAACAGGCTGTAGGCCTCATGCGGCCCACGGGCTGTATGTTGAGTAGTCCTGGATTAGAATAACACTTAGCTATTCTAGCTACTAGCTCACCAACACCTTCACTTGGGAATTTTTATTACAAGAGGGACACAGACTGGACGACCTATTAGCCAGTAAATGATTTGACTGTATGAAAATGGCAATGGGATATGGTTCCTCTTTTCTCTAGGTTACTGGCTCAATTCCAGTTTAAGATCAAATGTTGTTACTAGTTGATAGCTCTTCTGGGTCCTATGTATAGAAGGTAGGAAGGTTCAGTTCAATTTGTAATGGGCATGTGCTCACATCACCGTTTAATTTTGGAATAACAAAAATAATTGATATAAAAAATCAAACAAAACAAGATAGGCTCAGAGACTAGATTTTAATTGGTAAATGTCAGTAAATGTTGATTTCACTGTTCACTGATAAATGGATGAAGAAATATTTCATCAATAATAATCAAAATCTACAAATAGGAAAGAAAGAAAATTGCTGTTTCAGAAGTTATTAGAGTTTGTTTTAAAGATATTTTTTGTGTATTTTGACATGTGATGTTAACAATCTAACAGTTATAAACTTTAGCTTTTTGAATCTCAGTGCTTGCTGTCATTAAGTTATTTACCAGCACCTGCATAATGTCCTGCAAGTGCAAACATTTAAGTAAATCAGAATTCAAAACATTTTTGTAATGAACATTGATTTTATCTGTCAAAACGATAACAAAAACAAAATTCTGCCATGCTAACAAATAATCAAACAATGAAACAACCCACAACATTTACCAATGACTAGAAACAAATCAGGCTTACTTTTACTAACAATATCCTGCTACTTTTAGTACTGCAAAAAGTGACCCAACTATGGGAGAGGAAGCCAGATTCTATTCTGCCCTGTGAAGAGAAGATTAAGGGCTGACTTAATCACAGTCTATAAGTGTCCACGTGGGGAACAAATATTTAATAATGAGTGCTTCAAACTAGAAGAGAAACTTATAATACAGTCCATTGGCTGGAAGCTGAAGCTAGACAAATTTAGACTGTAAACAAGGGGCAAATATTTGATAGGATAACTAACCATTGGAACAATTTACCAAGAATCATGGTGGATTCATTGGCTGTTTTTCTGAAAAAAAAAATCTGATCTTGGAATTATTGGGGAAAGTTCTGTGGTCTGTGTTACACAGGAAGTCAGACTAGACACCACAATGGTCCTTTCTGACCTTGGAATCTATGTATTTATGAACAAATCAATTTCAGTTAAATTCTACTGACAGAATCCTTATTAGTACTGGTGATGGTGTATGAGGCTGATGAGCACAGCTGGATATCCACATCCCAGAGGAATTTTCATTGTTGGCCACTAGAAAAATGAAGTTGTGATTTGTAATCTTAGCACATTTCTGGACAAATCCTTCTATACTCACATAAATCATCCTGTTAATTCCACCAATTTGCAAAATTAAATACAGTAGAAAATGGACCAACGTATGGAACCTCAAGCACACTTGCCTATTAATTAGGCTATTGTAGATCTTAAATATTGATTAATTAACATTTGTAATATACTCTGGAAATGTAATGGGCTGATTACTAATAATTACTATGATGGCGTAGCCACCGCATCGTTGTGGTAGTACAGCGCCACCTGGTGATTTTCGTTCCGACAATGCAAAGGTGTACAAAGACATAAAAACCAAGTCCCCTGCTTTCTGTTATTTCTTCTTTTTATCCTTATTTATTTTATCATGCCCAAAGGGGTAATATGCACTTTACAGAAAAGACATAAAGTGATGGTCCCTGCCCCAAAGAACTTACAGTCTCCTGGGGGATGTTATGATAAGATTTTACTGCATCTTTATACCTCTGCAGAGGCCCATAAATCCTTCCTTGCTGAATAATGGCTTATCACTTTTATGTCACTACAATTTAAAGTACACATCAAATTATTGGCATAGAACTGTGACCTCAAATACGTCCTAAGCAACAATTTCTATTCAAGTTACCAAATATTGCATGCCCATACATCTGGAGATTACCTGGAGAATCAAGTATCAGAGGAGTAGCCGTGTTAGTCTGAATTGCAAAAGCGACGAGGAGTCCTGTGGCACCTTATAGACTAACTGAAGTGTAGGAGCATAAGCTTTTCGTCCATGCATCTGACGAAGTGGGTCTTTGCCCACGAAAGCTTATGCTCCTACACTTCAGTTAGTCTATAAGGTGCCACAGGACTCCTCGTCGCTTCTGGAGAATCAAGTTTAGGATAAAGATCTCTGTCCTAAACTTTTCTGTTCAGTTAATTGATACAGCTGATTCTGCTACCTGATTATAGACTATTAATGTCACTTGAGCCAAACCAGAATTGTTACAAGAAGACACAAACAACACCTTAAATGAAAGAAAACATTTTGAATCAAGTTCATCCCTGTTTTGAATGGAATCCCACCATAACTGCACCTGGCATAGAATCAGACAAGATTAGGGTAGGAAGAGACCTCAGGAGATCTAGTCCAACCCACTGCCCAAAGGAGGACCAAGCCCAACTAAATCATTCCAGCCACGGTTTTACCAACTCTGGCCTTAAAAAACTCTATGGATGGAGTTTCCACAGCCTCCACAGGCAACCCATTCCATTGAAAATTGAATGGGTGAAATTTGTTTAGTTTTTCCTAATATCCAACCTAGACTTCCCACATTGCAACTTGAGACCATCACTTCTTGTTCTTATTGCATCCTATGTTTGTTTTTGCGTGGTACAGAGAATTTTGGCCCTTACCTATAGAGGGACTTAAAGGGAGGAAGGATAAAAGCTCGCTTTAAAAACTAAATTGAGATGAGTGTGATGATGGTAGATCAGATCATAAATGAGCTCATGACAAGGCCCCTAAGTTTCACTGAGCATTGACCAATGCATGGCTCGCCTGCCTGTTAAGTTGAAAAGAATATTTCCATATGATGAAATGCTTGTAGGTGTTGGTGACAAAGCTCCAGCTGTTCCCTGTGGGTCTTGCACTATTGGTGGATAGCGGTAGCCTTAGAGGCTCACTGTGGCCCTCCACAAAGCCTCTTTCTCTTTATTCAAGGCAGGAGCCACAGCCTACTGAGCCACACTCATCACAGGCTAGTTGGAAGCCCCAGGGGCCACAATGATACATGTATCATTGCCAAGAGCCACAACTTAAATGTGGTTGCATAGACATGCAAATGACTTTTCACACGGACTGGCACCAATACAAAGATTAAGGCAAGACTACACAAAACACAGGCCCATTTAAGTCAGTTCTGCTGATATTAATAAAATGCAAAAGTTACCCGATTTCCACCCATATGACAGCACTTTTAATGAGCAATGACAGTCCAGGAATTTAACTACTAAAATGCATATCAAAGAAAGACCATTCTATTGACTACTTTTTTGTTCTGGCTTCATAACAGTCCAGGAATTTAACTACTAAAACACATATCAACACAAACTGCATCGTAAACCCAAACTGCATCACGGGACACAAACAAACAGGCTGTAGGCCTCATGCGGCCCACGGGCTGTATGTTGAGTAGTCCTGGATTAGAATAACACTTAGCTATTCTAGCTACTAGCTCACCAACACCTTCACTTGGGAATTTTTATTACAAGAGGGACACAGACTGGACGACCTATTAGCCAGTAAATGATTTGACTGTATGAAAATGGCAATGGGATATGGTTCCTCTTTTCTCTAGGTTACTGGCTCAATTCCAGTTTAAGATCAAATGTTGTTACTAGTTGATAGCTCTTCTGGGTCCTATGTATAGAAGGTAGGAAGGTTCAGTTCAATTTGTAATGGGCATGTGCTCACATCACCGTTTAATTTTGGAATAACAAAAATAATTGATATAAAAAATCAAACAAAACAAGATAGGCTCAGAGACTAGATTTTAATTGGTAAATGTCAGTAAATGTTGATTTCACTGTTCACTGATAAATGGATGAAGAAATATTTCATCAATAATAATCAAAATCTACAAATAGGAAAGAAAGAAAATTGCTGTTTCAGAAGTTATTAGAGTTTGTTTTAAAGATATTTTTTGTGTATTTTGACATGTGATGTTAACAATCTAACAGTTATAAACTTTAGCTTTTTGAATCTCAGTGCTTGCTGTCATTAAGTTATTTACCAGCACCTGCATAATGTCCTGCAAGTGCAAACATTTAAGTAAATCAGAATTCAAAACATTTTTGTAATGAACATTGATTTTATCTGTCAAAACGATAACAAAAAC